AAATATTAACTTAACTTAAAATTACTATTTTTCAATTAAATGGGGTTATATCATATATAACTGCATATCAACACCCTGGCAACCAGCAGAACACTAGCAACCTATGACATACTAACAAACATTCAAAATATCTTATAAACCACATAGCAACACCTTGGCAACTACATAGCAATGTCCTGGCAACCAGCAATATATGACAGAATAAAACATACTAAAACACATAGCAACACTCTGGCAACCAGCAAAACACTAGCAATCATATATGACAGACTAAAGACAGACTAAACTGCATAGAAACACCCTGGCAACCAGCAAAACACTAGCAACCATATATGACAGACTAAAGACAGACTAAACTGCATAGAAACACCCTGGCAACCAGCAAAACACTAGCAACCATATATGACAGACTAAAGACAGACTAAACTGCATAGAAACACCCTGGCAACCAGTAAAACACTAGCAACCATATATGACAGACTAAAAACAGACTATAACGCATAGCAACACCAAGGCAACAAATAAAACACTAGCAACCATGTATGACAGTCTAAAAACAGACTAAAGACAGACTAAAACACATAGCAACACCCTGGCAACCTTTAAAAGACTTGCAAACACATATAACAGACTAAAAACCAGACTAAAATGCATAGCAACACCCTGACAACCAGTAGAATTCTAGCAACCATATTTGACAGCATAAAAACAGAATAAAGACAGACTAAACACATAGCAACATCCTGTAAAAGACTAGCAACGACATATGGCAGACTAAAAACAGACTAAAATGCATAGCAACCAGTAGAACACTAGCAAACAAATATGACAGACTCTATAGCACATGCATGTCCATGTTTCTCCCATATTTTCCCGTATTGCATTTATTCAGCCTTTTTTCCCCGTCCTGTTGTTTTTTTTCCCCACTTCCTGTATATTGTTGGCTTTTTCATTTCCGTTCATGCCTCCCGCCTCTCCTTTATTTGTGCTATCAGTTGGTTTCCATCTATTACGCATTACTCTCTCTCACTCTCATTTAGCGGCTCTCGCAGTGAGAGGGTCTGTTCCTTCGCTGCTGCTGCTCGAGTCTGCAGGCCATTACTGTTCATTACAGGCAGAGCCAGAGGTCAGCGGGGTCACGGGATACACTAACACAGCTGTAATAGAGAACCAGAGAGCAGCGCTCCAGGACGTCACACGCAGGACTTGTAGAGAGACGTTTGAAAATAAGTCACTCAGGTCTCCGTGATTCATCATAAAAGTGATTTTAGTACAGGTTTTACATCATTAAAACTAGATCTGCATTTCCTGAAGGAGAGTGCAGTGCTTGCAACAAAAGAATCATGTCTTAGGCTACGGTTCTGCTGCTTTTCTGGTAGCTGTAGATGTTAAATAGATGCAATAAAAGAAAAACCAATCGCTTTTCAGTATGCAAATAGAAATAAATGGGGCGTCAAACCAGAATCCAGGATTTAAAGTTTAAATGGAGCGTTTGCAACAAAATACACAAAACAAAACAAATTCAAATTTAAACCCACTAACATTTGTGGTCATAAATTATTGATGAATTCAAACTCTGTTTATTTGTACATAAAACATTCAAAGGATGAAGT